ACCTACTAGAGACCTGGAGACCTACCTCCAGAGACCTATTGGAGACCTAGAGACCTGGAGACCTACCTTTGGAGACACATGGCATCCAAATTACACCTTCGTGCACAGTCAGTGAGCTAGCTTAGTAAAATTAGCTCGGAGCATCTCACTCAGGCTGACCTCTACCTCGGCAAGACCGAACTAGATGACCTCGTAAGATTACGGCGAGCTGTCCTAGGTGCCGGTCGAGCTGAGAGAACCCAAGGCAACCTGCGAGGAAGAGCTCGCTAACTATCCCTAGCAGCTCGCTACCAAAGGCGTTGATAGCGCGACTGTTAGAATGGCTCACCGTGTCGCACACCAGATTCTACGCGAATGAATCGTAACTCCTGCGAAAATGTCTCAACTGGCACCTTAATGCACATGAAAATATGGAAACAACTCCACAAAGAGCTCAAGACTGTTACCTTGAGCCCCTAGAGTCCAGGGGCCTATATAAAACGTCCAGATCCACCTAGAAAGGTATGCACACTGATACCCTCAAAGCTCCCTTATGTTCTTAGAGATTACTCCTACACACTCACTAACTTAAGCATCAGAGTGCCCTCCCCGGGTAAAAACTACCCGGGCACCCTCACCTCCTTTCTTTTTATAGCTCGTTCACACGGATACCAACTCGGCATATAGCTCGTCACTACTAGGTTGGACCCCTGTTCGAGCCAGATCACAAGACACGAGGGAGCGTCAAGATTGTGCATCACCAATTCCTTTTTCAAAGGTTTGGCTGATGGATTGGTGACAGATGGTGCTTACATGACCTGCAAGGCAAAGAGGAAAATGGAGTGTTGATTGATGTGTGCACAATTTACATATAAATTCTGGTGTTTATGCATGGTTTTGATGCTGATTTGTGTGAATTCTTACCCCAATTTAGCTTGATTTCAGGAAATTATCAAAGGGGACAAGTCTAGGGGAAAATGAACATAAAACCATGCTAAAAGAGGCCAAATTAGAGGTAATATAGCCCAGCTGGGAGCAAGGCCCAGCCGAGAGGTCAAAAGAGGGCTATTTGGCCCTTAAAGCCCATGCAACACTCTTTGGGAGAGCCCAAAGAGAGAGCCCAGCCACAGCCTTCCAAGGGAGCCTATTCAGCCCAGCAAAGAGGAGGCCCATTTGCAGCTCAAGAGCAGCCCAAATTGCAGCCCGAAAGAAGTTAGGGGCGGCAACTTCTAGAAGATTCAAGAGAAGCTAAAGGCGCCAAACATTCTAGATGAGAGAAAGGGGCTGAAGAGAAGGCTATAAAAGGAGAAGAGAGAGGGGAAAGGGGGTCGAATACCTTTTGGGGTCAAAAACCTTTTGGGGCGAATTCCTTTTGGGGAGAAGAGAAAGATAGGCACAAGAGATGAGAAGAAAGGAGAAGATTCAAGAGAAGAAGAAGCTGATTTTGAATTTGGAGAAGAATCCATTGGGAGATCAATCTAGGTTGTCTTCTTCCTTGATTTCTGCACAAGTGGTAATCGAATTCAGCTAGGGCTTTCATGTTTATTTTCTCCATTAATTCAATCTTTCTTGCTGTAATTGAATGATATTTCATGTAATTTCAGATCTGTAATTAGTTCTCTAGGGTTATTCGAATGGATTAGATTCAATTTTAATGTTTCTTGATTATAAATTTAATTGTTAGAATTGCTAGCCGAATTGATCTTAATCTTTGTAATGTCCGAATTGTTTGAGAAAGAATTTAGGCAATCTCAATTCTGTTTGGCCAAACTGTTCTTCTTTCTTGGAGTTTATAGATTGCTTGAGAAAGAGTCTAGAAATTTGGATATGCTAATCAAAAACCGATTGAGTGCAAAGTTAGAGATAACTTGCACAATTCGGTTGGTGATCATTCAATCTGAAATGATGCCCTAGAATTTTTAGATCTTAATGCATACATGGGGATTAGATTCTTGCTAGAGATAGAAGAATTATCACTCATGCATAGAATGAACATGCGCTTGAGAGAGGCTGTTCATTGCCTTGGGGTTTCACCAAACCAATGCCGAATCCTAATCTAATCGAATGACATAGAGATCTAATTGCAGAATCAATTATGTGCATAGTTAGCTTGTCTTCTTAATTTGCTTGCAAGGTGTTTAATCCAACATGTTAGAGGTAGTTTGCTAGTTCGGATTTCAGTTTTGCATTAGATTTACAATTCGGCTAATCAGATAAGAGTAGATTGATATACTACTAGTAGTTGCTGCATAAGTCCTCGTGGGAAATGACACTCTATTCATCACTCTATTACTTGTGCGACTAGTGCACTTGCTAGTGTAGAAAATATGCATCATTGATCTACTCCTCACAGAGAGCTCTCCAACCTCAAAGTCACAGCCTCTACCATCCGCATATAGGAACCAAGGTTTTAAAAATCGATCCAGAACGGCAACTATTCTGGTCTCTGGTTTATTGGTCAATAATTTGACTGATTGAATGAATGGGTTGCTAACCAAATTAATGGTTTGGGGTTTTTATAGTTCAATCCATCTTAGAAATCTGACCCCCATCGTACAGGTCAGATGAATCCTACCTGTGGATTGATGCCAAATTCATGGGTAGGATGCGATTTATAGGGGGGCTACTAGTAATTAGGAGGGGGTTGTAATTTCAGATTTTTGAGGTGGATTATAGTCCACTTATCCCTAATGGTTTTTACCAAATACTAGATTAAGGGTGAAATGGAACTGATTGCCTCGATGATTCCCAAGCCAAATGGTCTGACTGTCCACACCAATAGTGATGAGGGGTAATTTGGTCCTCCTAATCATACAGCGACATGTGGCTTCCAGATGACACCTTGGCACCAAGTCAGCGAGATAGCTCAGTAAAATTAGCTCAAAGCATCTCATCCAGGCTGACCTCTACCTCAGCGAGACCGAACTAGCTGGCCCTATAGGATTACGACGAGCTATCTTAGGAGTCGGTTGAGCTGTAGGGACTTAAGGTGACCTCCTAAGGAGAGCTCGCTAACCACCCCTACAGTTTCACCTTGGCAAGGCTGAGCTGGCAGACCCATAAGATTACGACGACCTGTTCTAGGAGCCGGCCGAGTTGAGAGGACCTAAGGTGACCTACGACGAAGAGCTCGCTAACCATCCCCAGTAGCTCGCTACCAAAGGCGTTGATAGCGTGACCGTTAGAACAACTCACCGAACCGTGCGCCACGTCCCGCGAGTGACTTGTATCCGCGCGAATCTAGCAGTTGACACAGTAACGCGCCTTATATTGAGGAAACAACTCTGCCAAAGGCTAAGAGATGTTGCCTAAGGCACTTGAACGCCAGATAAGCTATGAAAGGACCCTGTATCCACCCAAAAAGGTATGCGCACTGATATACTCTAGCTCTCTCATGCTCTCAAGAGATTCCTATACCACCTTTCTGACTTAAGCATCAGAGTGTTCTCCAGGGTAAAACCTACCCGGGCACTCTCATCCATCTTTCCTTGCAGCTCGCTTTCAGCTCACACACTCAAATAGCAACTCGGTAGTGCAGCTCAGCCCTACCAGATTGGACCCTTGTTCGAGCGTAGTCACAAGACATGGGGGAGCAACCAAATTGCGCATCATCAAATAGCGATTCGAATACACTGTCAAGAACACCTTCCGTACTTATATCTTATTATTTATGAGAGATGTTCTTAATACACGGTGGTATGTGTCTGTGAGGTCGGTGTGAGGAGCAGATCCCAATTTAGTAAAATGAGAGTTTTGGGCTTAAATGTCTAACTACATATATATAACTTATGCTCAGTCCAGGTCCAGTCCAAATATCGGTTTAACCACTAGGATTATGCTCAATCTAGGTCCAGTCCAAATATCCATTTAACTAGTAGGATCTGATCTAATTTAATTTAGGGTAAAACACTTAAACCTCCCCTACATTTTTCTCATAAATATGTATACTTCCCCTGTGCTTTCTAATTGGACTTAAACATCCCTTGTCTGTCTAAAATGTCATTATATTTGACAGAATCTATAAAAAAACACTTTTCCCCTTTAATGTGTTTCAAATTTTCAAAGTGAGCCATCGAAGTTGCTCAATCAAAAATAACAACCCCTTTGATCTTTCTAATATAGAATGCCCGAAATTTCCGAACTAATAAGGATCAACGTTTTTCAGAAGTACTCGCTCTAATGGTGTTATCAATTCAAATTTGGATGATTGAGTTCAGGCTTTTTTTTAATCAACAAAAGCAAAAGATCCTTTTATGCTTGTAGATAAAACAAACCAAAATTCTTTGCTTTCATTGTCCTATTTAAAAGTTCTAATAGAATAATAGTGTCCTTATTTCTTTGAAAGATGTAGTGCTAAGCAAGTAACAATCGAGACATAAATAACAGTACAATCAAGGGATGGTGCACTGATAGAGAGGCAATGCTCCTGATCAAGGGTAATTTGGCCCTCTAAATCACATGGCAACACATGGCTTTCAATTGATACCTCGGCACTAAGTAAGCAGATTACCTTGGCAAGTCGACTTGTAGCACCTCACCTAGGCCGACCTCAAATACCTCGGCCAAGCCAGGCTGATAGGTCTTCCAACAAATAGCGACCTATTCTAGAGATCGGCCGAGCTACGAAGAGTACATCTGGTGACCTGCAGGGCGAGCCTGTTGACTTGTCTCATAGATTCGTTGCCAATCCGAGATCTCCGGAGTACTAATGAGTCAACTGTTAGGCCGACCTAGTGCATCGCATGCATCAGAGTTAATCGGACGGACCACAACCCTTGCGCAAATTATGTAACCGATGTAATTATTCTCCCGAGTGAATGGAAATGGCTCCGTGAAAACCTGAGACCCATTGCAAGAGGACTCAGGTCACTCACATCTATGTAAAGCCCTCATTTTCACCTAAGAAGGTACGTGTGATTAAGCTCTTACATTCTCTTATCTCTTAAGAACTCTCAATACAATTCGCTGACTTAATCATCGAAGTACACACCTCGGGTAAAAACAACCCAGACACTCTAATCCTACCTCTCTTGCAGAACAACAGCTTGGCCATCCTTAGCTCGGCCTAGCGCAACTCGGTCACTAACAAGACAAGCATCCAAATCAACGTCCGAATCATCAGACACGTGAGAGCAGCTGGATCGCACTACATCAGCTCCCAATGTTTTCCTTATGCCCTTACCTTCTTTACAAGAGCCAACATCCTGAAGGTATTTCCTAAATGATGTCTTCATTGCCTGCAAATCGTCGGGAAGGTACTTGTGCTTCACCAAGAGATCCACGGCATCCTTGAGACGTTGGTTCGTCGCGTCAACGGTCTCACAAGGAAGGCGAGCCATAGCTTTCCTGATGTCTAGATCATACATTGGGTCATAGAGGTCATCATATCGAAGCCCATATTTCTTGAAACATTTGGAGAGGGATTTCATGTGTTGAGCAGTGAACGAATTCTTTGATGGATTCAAGGATGGCAACATGGACAAAGCCATGGCTGCATAATTCTTTGCAACTCTCTCTCTCTCTCTTACGTTTGCTTCCTCTTTTCAGATTTGAGTTCAGGCTTCATTGTCCATGAAGGGTCTCTTCATCTTTCTGCCTCAAACCTAAGGTGCAAGTTGGGCAGGTTGGGCCAGGTTTATGGTCAACCCAGGCCTTACCCTAAAATTTGGGCTTAAGACTCGAGCCTGAGGTCAAGCCCGATTTTCCCAACCCAAGCCTAGCCTGCCCTGTAATTTGATGCACTCGGATTGGGCTCAGGCTCGGGCCGGGCTTGGGTCGATCAATGAACCCACTTTATATATATATATATATATATATATATATATATATATATATATATATATATGTATTTATGTATGCATATAAATATATATATACATATATTTATGTATGCATGTAAATATGTATGCAAAATATTTATACAAATGTTATATGTACAAATATGTATGTATATAAATATTTAAATATGTATGCCATATTTACATATACACACATATATGTATAAATGTATATAATTGGATCGGGTTCGGGCTACTTAAGGGATAGGCCCGAGCCCAACCCAAAAAATAAAAAATAAAACCCTAAATTCTTGGGCCCGAACCTAACCCAATGACCAAAAATCCAAACCCAACCCGTGTAAAATTCTGAATTAAACTGATTTGGGCTCGGATTGGGCCCGCCCAAGTTGCACCCCTACTCAATGCAATTGTGATGTTACTCAATGCAGCCCTTACCCACCAGCTAGTTGGCATCTTGCAATCAAATTCGAACAGGATATTTGGATATGTAAATAAATTGAATGCGAATGACTGTTTTATTTTTACATTGAATATCGAGCCAAATTTAATTTAGTATCTCTAGGATTTTCCGAATTTCGAAATGCCCCCTATTTGAACTCAATCCAATGCATTTGTAAGCTACTTACCATTCAGGAGGCCCCTCATTTGATGTGTTAAAGGGTACGTTCCTCTTTTTTGTAGTTTTTTTTTTTCAAAATTTTCATGGCAGATCAGTCTTAGGCCTGGATACTCCCTGAAAGTGATCAAACCCCAAAACTCCTTTTATTTAGTGTATTGGTACCTCCAACATAATACAGTATGTCCAATAGAAGATGTATCATGCTCGTATTAGATCAATACTTTTCAACCTTGATCACCACCAAGTGGAAAAAATGCATAATAGCATACATATTCACAAATCAAAGTGGAAAGGCACAATGTCAGGCCTAACACTAACATCTACAAAGAACGTTAAAAAAAATTAAAATTCACAATTTGAGTTATAGTTAGAAACATGGGATCATTGACTTTTGGTGATTCAATTGATAGGATCTCTAATTCATTGTAGCAAAAACCTGGTATACAATCTCATTGCCATCAGAGTTGGGGATTAAGGAGATGGGGGATGGGCTACCCCCGTTGTGTATTCTCATTGTCGTTAAGGCTGTGTTTGGAAGGGATGTAAAACGTCACCGATGTAAAAGTTTATGCCGGTTCAGTTTTATTGGCATTTGGATGAAGTGTAATCAAGATGGATGTAAAACTATTCCCGGGTTCAGATTTGTTGGTATTTGGATGGAATGAAATTTTACATCATAAATCGATGTAAAACCTCATCTAAAGTAAAGTTTTACATAAACTATTGATTTAAAATGCCACATTTTTCGAAGCTTAATGGCCAGAAGCTTTTTATGGTTTGGTTTGAAACTCCACCGATGAAGTTTTACATTGATGAAGTTTTACACCGCTTCCAAACGTAGCCTAAGGCTCTATTTGCTTTGTGTGATGGGAAAGGAAAATATGGAATATTCTTGAATATTCGTCCCTTCCCATGTTTGATTTGTTGGATGTTATGAATGATATGGGATGAGAAAAAGGTAGTATTATAGGTCCATGGAATCCCACCATTTTGGAGGAAAAGTAGAGGAAAAGAAGGGGGAACTTGCTTAATAGAAAAAAAAAACTACAATCCTGGTAGTCTTTTTAAGAGTTAATATTAGACCCATGACCCATTAAAAAATTATTAATTATTTAACAAGATAATAATAAAATAATTTAATTATAACTAATTAACAATTAATCTTAATAATATAAAATATTAAAAAGAAAATAGTAAATAATAAAAATATTATTAATTAATTATAATTATTTAATGATTAACAAAACATAGTTTATAATTAATTAATTAAGTAATTATGGAATAATTAACTAACTGTTTTATTATTAGCCTAATTAATAAATAAATAATAAAATTTTTAACTGATTCAAAATAACTAGTAATACAAAATAAAATTTATTCATAATAAATATTAACTAATTAAAAATTAATTATAAAATTAATGAATAAAGATATTATTCATTAATAATTAATGAGCAATAAAATTTAAATAATAAAAAACCACTAGTTACCTAATTAATTAATAAAACAAAAATATTAATTAATGTTAATAATTAATTAATTAAGTAATGAATGAATAATTAAATAATTATCTTATTACTAATTTACATAATAAATAATTAATAAAAATAAGATTAGTTCTTAATTAATAATTAATTGACAAATTATCAACACTAATTAATTAGGTAATTAAAATAACATAATTAATGAAATATAAAGTAATAAAAAAATATTACTAATTATCCAATTAATTAATTTATAATTGTTATTAGGGTTGATTTTCCCACTATTTTCCCCTTTTGCAACCAAACAAGGGAAGAAAAACAAAATTTTCCACCCATTTTCCTTTCTCATCCCATCCTTTCCCATCCCACCAATATCTTTCCTCAAACCAAACACAACCTAAATGGATAAAGTAGCCATAGCCATGCTGTCCATTATTTTGGGGTAAAGTAATAAAATTATCAAACCATTAAACAACTAATAAATATGAATATATGATAAATGAGTTTAACCATTTGCACTTTATTTGACATATCAAAGAACAAAAAGTAGTCTCTCAAAATGATGACACGCCCAATAATTATACCTATAAAAACCTTTAAAATTTATGGAGAAGTACGGACATGTTCAATGCATATTTCTGATTTCTATAGTACAGCTATAAACATTCAGAAGGTAAAAAATCCACACTATGCACCCATACTCGCCCGTGAATTGGCATCAATTCCAAGTTGGCACCTACCCCGATGTACTTTGAGCCTATAAATTCTGACTTTGGGCTGAATCATCATTTTCCCAAAAATTTAAGAGAAAATGACCGATCAGCCCAAGGTCAGAATTTGTAGGCTCAAATTACTATTGGGGTAGGTGCCAGCTTGGAATTGATATCAATTCACGGGTGAACGTTGGTGCATAGAATGTGGGTTGTGATCCTTTTGAATGTTTATAGCTATACAGCATAAATCAAAAAAACTTAGAGCATCTCTACCAATAGATGTATTCATCATTACTGATCCAATAATTGCTTCTGAAATTAAACTTTTTAGGTTTAAAGTCATGTCACTATCGAATAAACTCATTGAAATCAGAGTTTTCCTTCGAGATTCAAGACAGCTACTTAACTTTTCCATGCACCAACCAAAGGAATGGAAAAAACAAGTGTTTTTTGATTTCTGATAGAAAATGTTTTGCTTTAACCAATCTTATTAATTGTACCTTTACAATGAAATATAGAACCCTTGCCACTTAGCAATTTGATCTAAGGGGAATACGAACCTCTAACTATAACTGGAGGTGAATGACATTGGTGGAAGTAGGAACAAAATCAAGAAATTGTTGGACCAAGTGGTCTATGGCCTTTGATATCATCATTGATGTATTATCCATAGATTAACGGTAATAATTGCATTGATGTATTATTATTATTATTATTATTATTATTCATAAAAATTTATTATTGTTTATCTTTTTTAAACTATTATCCACTAAAATCAGTTATTGATTGAGAAAAAGTCTGAATTTCAGGGACGTGTCTCATCTTAGTAAGAAGTCCCTAATGTTCCAAGAGGGAAAATAGGGTTGCTCCCTATTTTTTAGAACACAAACGTTTAAATGGGAGTCCCTATAAATAGAGTCCTAAGAATGGCTTACTAGCACTGCGACTTGAGAAAATCTCTGTACAAGTTATGCTCATCCACATATCTACAAGAGTAAAAATTGGGTGGAAATAAGCCTCCACTTGGGATGTTAAAGAAGTTTGAGCCCTGTCTTAAAATCTCATCATCATCAACCTTGATAAGCTTTGGGATTTCACTTTTGGGCTCCATTTATTAAACTTGGGAGAATCACGGATAACCTCAGTGTCAGAATTTATAGGCTTAAAGTACATTTCGGGTAGGTGCTAATTCGGAATTAATGTCAATTTACAGACAGGTATCGATCCATAGAGTGTGGTTTTTAGACCTTCTGAATATTTATAACTTTACAGTGAGAATCAGAAATCTATATTAGGTCTTATCCATATCCAAATTGGATAAATAACTTTTCTACTGTCTACAAAAATTTATAAAATATAATATACAAATTTATCCATTTATGTTTATTTAAATGTCTCATTAATTGTATTTGTATATATCGATATTTGTTTTGTATGTGCTTTCTTGTTTTATGAAGTTTCATAACAGGTAGGCATTTATTGGCACTTTGCTGATGTAGTGCCTAATGGTACCTATGTGTCATAAACGTCTTCATTAATTGTTTTTCTCGATTTTGTAGCCATACAAGTATAAAATGTTTACTCAATAAACGTAAACGGAACCAAACACCCTGATAAATATTAAATTGAGTATGGTAATGTAATGGATCAGATCGAATTTGAATTAGGGTTATTCGAATTCAATCGGACACTATTCATGTCGGATCCGATCCAATTGGAATTAATAGGCCTCAATTTGAATTTGAATCATATCGATAAGTCGTATCTGATCCAATCCAACTTCTTTTCTTTAAAAAATAATAAATTATTAAAAGAAAAATAAAATATCAATTTAAATAAATAAAAAACAAAAAATATAAGTATTTTTAATTATTT